TCATAATCATAATGCTCTGTATTACAGTAGTTTATTACTGGTATAATATAGTCTATTTTATGTATGCTTTACTATAAATTATATATGATAATATATTTTATTTTGTTTCACTATTCAGGATCTAGGCTCAACAAAATAATGCCCAACAGTTCCTGAACTGATCAGCATTACAGCAATCATGATTACTGTCATCACTGCTATACTATGCTGGAAATACTGATATCAAGTATCCAAGGGGAAACTGTTTAAAATGTCAATCATCTGTTGAAACCAGCTTCATCACCTGTCTTAGGTGTCCACTTCTGCAACATCTCAATTTATGTGTCAAAATATGAAACTCTCACATTTAAGAGCTTTGTAGACACTAAAGTGTGTAGACTCGAAACTATCCATTTTCATCATAGAGAAGAGAACGTCAACTCCATATAAGAAAAGATTCTTTCCACCTGTGGTAGCTATACGTTTATTCTAAAATGCCCAGATAACACATTACAAAAGTTGATTTTTCAAGTCTAAGTAAATTGAAAAATTGCAATTGCTAGGAAATGTAATAAATATTTACCAGACCTGTTTACTCTCAAACTCATAAAATCGTACAATATTATCACAAAATCGTTCAATACCTTATATTTATAGAAAAAAAATAAACATACAGTATACATGCTAACACCTCAAAATCGTACATTGTATGCTAACACCTCAAAATCGTACATTGTATGCTAACACCTCAAAATCGTACATTGTACGCCAAAACCGTAAGAGTAAACATGTCTGATTTACATATACAGCCCAATGGCTTAATTTTTTGTTCATTTGTGATTATTTCAATGTTGCTTTGCTTTGACAGTTGCATGGTTTTTTACATTATAAACAAAAATGCTACATTGCTATAGTCAGGAATTTTTTTGTTTTTAATTGGGAAAAAGTAGGGAATTTTGTTTTTAAAAAAAGGAGTGGGAACCCTGATATATATTATATATACGGTAAATATATGTGTGTGTGTGTATATATATACTATATATACACACACATACATATCTTTTTTGTGGGCAGTACGCACCATTTTGGTGTACCCATCGCTGGACTGATAGATTAAAAAATATATTGAAATAAGTAGTAATTACAAAACAATTTAGCTATTAGAAAGCTTAGTAAGGGGAACCTGATTTTTCACAAGAATTACGATTAAGTCTACAATGATGCCAAACTATATTCTGGTATACACAAAAGTGCTTCGCTGCATTTTGAATTTATACTTTTAAAAAAAATGGACAGGTGGCTCAACCGTCTCTCCAAATCCCACTACCACTTTTGTTTGGCTGACTATGGCGGGTGTCTTCAATATCAGCTCCCCCACCACATCTTCATCTATCCAGGTGTCAAATAACTTGTACATTTTTATTTGCAATAATGCCCTGTATTATGAGTATGTGAACGTCAGTCATCTACTTTGAGAATCTGTTAGTAAAAAGCCTTTCACAGAGGTGTTTCACAATACTGTTGATATTACCACATATTTAATAGAGAATGTTACAATTAAAGTCGTTGAAATATAGGAGTGTTGGTTGCAAAATCTTTTAAAAAAACGAGCCATCCATTAATTACTTTTTAAAGCCAACTGATGAATCCACCATTGGACAAATAGCATCCAATGGTTAAAGAGATCCCTGACAGAAAAACAGATTATTAACGCTGTTTTAGATGACACGTTTTGGTCTCCTATGTCACATTAACATCCCCAATTCGTTTAAAGACCACTTCAGCCGACTGACTCCCATTTTCAAAAACGCTGACGTCACATGATATGACATGGTCCTTTCATGCGTGAGTACGCATGTAAAAACAAACTATTGACGTGCACCTGTCGGCCCTCTCTGTCAACAAATCTGGTAGTTATGCATGCATAAATTCATTGAGCCATTCGGTTTTAAAATTTAATTTGCACTTTTTCTTAGCAAGCAATGACGCAAACGATTCACTTAACTGGTGTTTAGACATAACGGTTAACGATTATTACAATTTGCTATTATGCTTATAATTAAGTATGTAATATTTCATTTATTTTATACACATAATTGTCTAGTCTGCACCACAAACTTTTCATGAATGGTGGTTATTGAGAACGAGGCTAGCTTGTTTCGGTATTTATCAGCAAGTATGGTAATGAATAGTTAATACGTAAAATGTAGGTTACAAATATATAGATCTGAAGTCAAATTAAAAATGTATGTATGTTATAAAAACTGTATAATTACTGTTGGAGAGTGCATCGTATCTTTTGAATGTATCCTTATAAAAAATTTGCTTCACTGTTAATCAAAACTGCAGCGCTGCATCTGAAGATAAATGTGCAGCTTTTTGGGACTTTGGCTTGGACCCTAGGGGGATTTTTTACAGACTTTTCTATGGTTCTAGGAATCTTAATTGTATCAGCCCAAATTTTATCTAGTTACTATGTTGACTAGAAGTTATCCATTAATTCTAGTCTTATTTGTGATGTGTATGTGTGATCCATCATAATTCATCACCACACTTTCTTTTGTACTATAGACTATATTAGAAGCATACTATTTCATTTGTCTTTTCATACCATTTTTAAATATTTACACTTTAACGTATCATTGTGTTTTGACCCACCATGGAGGGTGCTAAAAACTTTAATTTCTGAGAATGCTTATGATGGGGTAAGGAAATGGGATGTTCTGGGTGGGTTTATGGTCCAGATGGGGCTATGATCAGGTAAAGTTTTGGAACCACTGATTCACATTAATTTCATTAAATAAAATTACTTTTCTTTATTCTTGCAGTGGACATTGGCAACATGTTAATGTAGCAGTGAAGGAATGTGTATCAAAGTAAATCCCAGTGGACATAAGCTCATGTAAATAACATTAGATAATTGACTTTCAACTACTTAAAATGTGGAGGATTAATTCATCTCTTGTTATGATTTCTCAAATAATTTATTTCAGGATTTTGTATATCCTAATACTTTTAGATAATCATGACTTTTCATTAAAATATGTCCTAATTAGAAGTTAGTTTTCATGCAGTGTATTGTAGACATTACTGGCTAATGCCGACAGATGAAGTTAATTTGAACTGGAACCAAATGGGAAATTTAGTGCTTTTTTTTTTACTTATTTGCTAAATAAAAGCATCTTCTGATATAATTACACAATGTTAGAGATCTTGATTCTAATACTAGTACTAGCTAACTTTGCTTAATTTTGTGTTTAAAAAAGGCAGTGAAATTGTAAAAGAGACTGTTAAAAACATTGATAGCAGAATCGGCCATCTCTTACTCAGCCTCTGTTTTAAACATCTTCGATAGTGACCTTGATCTGCCGTGCTTCTATTCTTCCAAAAATACGGCAACCCTGGTAGACCCATTCCCATTGTCTTAGCATGCTCTTGCCCCACCAAACTTAACTCGGAATAGCTAGGTGAAGTTTTTGAACCCATCAAAGCTTCACTGCACACTCACATTAAAGATAACAACCATGGTTTGAAAACTTATGAATCCATTAATCATAATCCTTCCTGAGCAGAAACATCATTTATTTCTTCTTGATGTATGTTCTCTTTATATCTCAATCCCTCATACTGATCGTTTGTTAGCTTTACACTTCTTTCTCGGTCATAAACCCCATCCATCCTTACCTACCACCACCTCCTCTGATTTTATGAACTTGTACTCAAACTGTATTTTGATGATAATATTAGGGTTACCAGTATGGAGAGAGGCGATTAGACCCATTCATCAGCTATTATCACCCCTCCATTTAATTTACATCACAGGTCTCTAAGGTCTTGATGAATGCGTTGGAAATTACGACAACTCTTCGCAAAGACAGCCTACTTACCTCTGCCTAGTTTAAACTTACTGACAGCTAAAGCTATTTACTCTTCTCACCACCCTAAATCCTGTAGGGACTCAATTCCCTGTTCTCAACTTCTTCATCTTATTTCACTTTGCCAGGCTGAAGATGACTTTTGGAACAAGGCACTTGAGATGAAATATTTTTTTGGTGTATTTTTTTCGGTAAGTCCTACCCGAAACAGTACCTTCATCACCCCTTCAACAGGTCAAAAATCATCACTCTTGCTGAAACCTCCAGGTCTCGTCCGAGTGACAATGGTGGCAGGACCAAACTTATTCTTACCATCCCCACAATCTATTAGCCAAATATGTTTTCTTAAAATACAGTGCTATTAACCTTTCTCCTTCCCTTGTTAGATCTTTTCTCTGTCCCCTCTTTTTTCTTTTTTTTTTTACAACCAACGGCTGTGGACTTAACCTCCTCAACTCCCCGCAATTTGCCTATATCATGCTCTTTTTTAACTCTTACTAGTGGTCAACCTTATGCCTCTACTGTCTTCTCGGCTACAAAATTTCATCAAAGTTTTTATTTTAATATTCATGTTACTCTTTGATTACTGAGGAAGGCTTCTTGCAGACACGCGTTTTTTATTTGCATTCTTTTTTTCATGTTTTATCTTACCTTCTTTCACATAGTTCCTTTTACCTTGGACTATTGTGAACTATTTTGTGGCTATGGTTATACTAATATTGACAGTATAAAACTTTAATCATAAAAGCAGAGAAATACATCTGTTATTTATTATTTAGCTTCCTTTTAGTTTAGGAGAATGGTTTTGAGTACAAAATACTATCATATTAAATTGAATTTAAGGTTCCTTAGGGATAGGATTAATACATTTTATGTACCAAATTTAATTCTTTTTCACAAAAAACAAAAAAAATGACTAATTAATATATTTTTGTAAGAAAACAAAAATGTTACTAAATATGATGGGAAATTAAATTTTCAACCTTTTCTTTTTTTTTTTTTTCTTTTTTTTTTTTTTTTTTTTTTTTTTTTTTTTTTTGAAAGGAACTTTTCTTAAAACTAATAGAGGGTTGACAAATGTTCACACAATATTAAAAAAGCATCATAAACTGCTAACAATATTTTTTTTAAATAATGGCTAAAACATCAAGACTGTGGAGAGCTTATATTAAAGTCTATTGTTATTAATGATTTATATTTCTTATCTTTCCAAACAGAATTGAACAACAGAAAGGAATCCAGCTGAGCAGATAATGAGTGAAGAAATCCACAAATCCACAGACAACCCCCCAATACCACAATTTGTACATCATGGGGACAAAACGAAATCTCTCCCTGTTTGGACCTTAATAAATCCTGAAATAGTCATAGATGCTGTGTATAGTCTTGCCGCTGCTGAAGGTCGTGATCGGGGTCAACATTCTGCAGTCATGGAACAAAAGTCATGCAATGACACACTTCAAACGAACTTCCCCATTCAGCTGTCATCTCTTCCCACAGCATCAAAGCCCTCTCATGTCTTGGCTGGTCAAGAATGTGTTAGCATTCATCCATCAACCAGCTCAGCACACAAAAATACATCTACTACTGCAGGTAGTAGTGGCTCTGGAAATTTTCAAAGCCCCTCTGTGGATCCAACTGTAGAAGGGGACGTAATACATAATTTAGCTTTTCCTCGTTCAAATTCAGAACATATTTCAACTAACCTTAAAGGAAATGATAATTCAAAAGGTCTATCAGAAAGTAGCAATGTGGGTTCATCCTCCAGGATTGTTTCAGAAAATTCACCTCAGGTGACAAATAAGGAACCGACTGATATAGTTGATTTAGAAACAGAAGATATTGATGACTGTATGCTTGTTAAGATAGACCTTAGCAAGCGTATTTGTAAGTTTGGTCCAGTTATTTCCGAAGAAGTTGTAATTGAAGACAGCGATGAGGAATTCTGTGTCAATAAAGAAGAGTGCACCAACCCTATCAAGTCTTCAGAATTTGAATTGAGCTCTTCAAACAGCCCTTCAGTTAGTAATTTGAGCATTGTCTGTGGTAAGGCAATGAGTCCCAAAACTTTGCCAGAAAATCCTTTAATTTCAAAAGTTCAAGTTCATAGAGAAGAATCCCCTACTCTTGACATGGAGGTTGAAAATATAAAGGAGGAGATTTTAATTGATGTTGAGGAAGATGTTTCGTCTGATGAACAGGTGGATGTTGAAAGTTGTGCTGAGAAACCAATCTGTCAACCACAAAACTTCACATCTGCAGAAAGCAGCCCCTACAGCTGTAAGCCATGTTCAAAGTCATTTCCCAATCGCACAAGTTTGGTCACGCATATTCTGGCTTGTCACATGTCCAAGCCACCCCCAAAAGAACTGCTTGAGAAACTTGTTTACCCATGCCAAAACTGTTCTCAGTTGTTTAAGAGTGATTCACTTTTAGTAAATCATGAATGTTCTTCTTGTAATATTAAATCACACATGCCCACCCAGTATAATTCAGACACCTCTTTGCCAGCAGTTTCAGAAACATCTACCATAAAAAGATTACTGTCGGCTGAGAAAAGGGAAAGTACACTCACTTCTCAGGACTTGACATTGAGGGGCACTGCTCTCATTGGTGCCACAGCATCAAAAGTGATCCCAACACCCTGCAGTCAGAATTCAATTAACACAGCTCCAGTGACTATAAAAAAAGAAGTGCCTGATACCACCGAGGAAATCCACAAGGATGGCAATCTTTCAGAACAGGTGCATAAAGAAAAAGAAACCCCCTCTTCAAAGATAAACCAATCTCATGAACAGGATGCCGAGAACAAAAAGAAAGCTGCTTCCTTGGGTGCACCAAGTTCCTCTGCCTCGAATGTAACTGTAGATACAAACAAGCAGAAAGAGCAGGTGAAACAAAAAATAGGAGAAAAGACTGTGTGGTGTTATGCATGCTCAACTTGGTTTACAACTTACACAGAATTGAAACTACATTTGAAGATAAAACCACAATGCAAGGTAACCAATGATGAGTTTTATTTGCAGAATGTTAAAAATAAGACGTTTCCTGCAAGATCATCTTATGCAACAAAGGCAACTACAGACAATAAATCCCAACCTGCAAAATCATCAGATGTTGCATCAGCAACTACGGGCAATAAATCACAACCGGCAAAATCATCAGATGTTGCATCAGCAACTACAGGCAATAAATCACTATTGGCCAAATCATCAGATGCTGCATCAGCAACTACTGGCAATAAATCACAACTGGCAAAAGCATCAGATGCTGCATCAGCAACGACAGGCAATAATTCGCACCCTCCTGTCTTAAAGGTTAATGAACCTATTAAGAGCGAGCCTAGAACTGTTGTGATGCCAAAAACTAAGATAGAGCCTTTGAAAATAAAGATTGGGCCTTCTTATTGTGTTTTAAAATCAAAGAAAGTATGTTTCAAAGCTGCTGACGAGCCAAGTGAAGATAATGCAGGGGGTGATGCAGTTGGTGACGATAGAACAGTTACAGCCAAACACCTGCACAAAGAAGGCTGTCATGAGTTTCCTTCAAAAGTAGATCTACTTAACCCTGAAGCAGACCAAAAATGTCAAGTGACAGATACTAAGCTGAACAGAGCAGTTGTCCAACTGAAGCCCATGTCAGCTATGTGCAAGGTCTGCCAGAAGGCTTTTACAGATGAGCAGTCATTAGTAAAGCATCTTCAAAACAACCCCAAGTGTTTGAGTTCAAACAAACCTGCTGAACAGTGTAAGAGTTGCCTCTGTTGGTTCTTAAACTATGAAGATCTAAGTAAACATGCTCAGATGAGTAAATCCTGTCAGGTGGGGACATCTAAGGAAATGACAACTAACGACTCGTCGGGTGATGGCCTGAAATGTGATTCTATCAAAGATGTAATGGATCAACATCCACTATCTGGATGTACCAAGATGGACCTGTCTTCTGATGATGATAGTGATGATGTCGATGAAATAAGCTCTAGTGAGGAAGGTGATGTAGAGTATAAATGTCGACATTGTGATATGGTATTTACACAAAAGTACCAGTGCAAAAGACACATGAAGGAGTCTCATGGTCTGCCAGGGGAGGATGCAAACAATAAGGAAAGGGGCAAAAAATTACGGTGCAAGTCGTGTACCAAAAAATTTGACAGTGTCACTCTTTTGCAAGCCCATCTCCTGCAGAACAAGTGCTGTTTTCTGGCCGTGACCTATAGCTATTGGAACACTGTTCAAAATGAAAAGCACTTGTGTTTGTTGTGCACCAAAATATTTCCCAGTGATAAAATGCTGCGCAGACACTGCTTTAAGAATATGGCATGTCGATTAAGCTATACGAGCTTGGTGCTGAAAGGTGTGGTGGATGACAAAACTTCCTCACCCATTTTAGATAACAAAATGGTAACTAACAACTTAACAGTGGTGGAAGGAAATAGAATATTACCTGCGAGGGATGATGGAGTCCTCAAGCGTGTTACAGCTGAGGTGTCATCTTCTGTACAGGACTTGAATGTTTCATCTTCTGTTGGCGCAACACAAAACACTTTAAAGGCTTCACAGAGTGGGTTGAATAACATGGGCAAGAACAAGAACAACAGAGTATGCAAAAACTGTGGTGCCAATTATGTAACATTTGTTGATCATGTCTTAAAGGAAAAAGCGTGTTGCTCCTATTATGCTGCGCATACGGAAGAATCCCCAACTAATTCATTTTGCTTCGTATGCAAGAAACAGTTTAAAAATAAGAGGCTGTTCAATACTCATTTATGTTCAAATGCAGGTGAAACGATGAGTGAGGCTGGGGCATGCACAGCCGCTGCTAGCCAAAACCCGACATCACATGTCTCAAAATCAGAAGAATTCCCCTGCATGATATGTGATGCCAAATTTTCAATACTACGTCAGCTACTGGAACACAGTTACCAGCACACAAATCCAATTTCCCAAGTTTGTCAAAGGTGTAACTTAAATTTCAGTCACTACAATCGCTTTGTTTCCCATATGGCATTTCATATAAGAATGGATAAAGAGTCAGGATCAACGTCAGAGCAGGCCGATAACCATCCTACTAAGTCTGCCAAAGTTTCAGATTCTCTTTGTCTGAAATCTGAGGCTGCCCAAAGTTTCCAAGGCTCTGTGAGGCAACAGAAATTTTCTGAGATTCCATCATTCAAAGATCATATGGCTTCAAATGATCCCTCCAGACCAACCTCTCACTCTTGCCCCATTTGTCTCCAGTTGTTCAAGTCTAAAGAAGCTGTTGATAAACACAAGAGAAGTCATGAAATATCTAGAACCTCACCTTCGGTTAATTTTCTTACTACCAAGTTTGACCCTTCACCTGCAACAGAAAAGAAGATTAATTGCAAATTTCCTCAACCCTGCGGCATCTGTAACAAGCTTCTCAACTCTCTAAAAGATAAAAAGAAACATATGTCATGTAGTGCACTTTGCAGAAATGCATTGTCCAACCTTGAGGCAAGGAAAGAGATAACTCCTGATCAGGTCAGAGATAATAACAGTGGCAAAAATAATTCTCTAATTCAACACAATGCTGCTCTGCCAAGTGAAGAGGGGTTTAAATGCATGTTCTGCCTGCAAGAGTTCATTAGTGATCAAGAGAAATTGCGACATATTTCTCAGTCACAATGCTGCAAAAGTATACTGAAATTTGTTTTGGATAATAAATTGTATGCAATACCCCTTGCTGATTCTGATACAATTAAAAAGCAACAATATAATTCCAAAAGATGTGAGTTTTGTCTGAAGATAATTGAGGATAAAATTGCTCACCTGCTGGGATCTGCTTGCATTAAAGCACTCGAAGATGCTATTATTGCATACAAGTCAAATGCCACTGTGAAGGTCAGCCCTAAAAATAGCCAGGAATCAACTGACAGGCCTGCATATTCTTGTGAAATTTGTCAACGAATGTTCAGTACCAAAGGATCACTGTCCCACCATAAGAGAAAGAAGCACCAAGAGATGGGCATTAATTCACATTTGTCACAAATACCCATTGATCATCATCTGTACTGCTTCCAATGTAAGAAATTTTTGGAAACATCCAATGATGTAGAGCTTCACAATACGCTATCCCATAGCAGGAAACTGTTGTCTCGTGGAACTCTGAATAACGCTGTGTTTACACCAGGCCAGTTGAGATGCAAGATATGTGACATTAAATACTTGGGAAAGCAGAAAGGCAGACTACTTAACCATATGCATGCGAAACACAATGAAGGTACAAGTAAGCTACTTAGCCTACAAAATAACCTGCCGGATTCCAAAAATGTACCAGCAATGAGTCCTGGTGATGTTTCCCCAAAGACAGCTGACTCTTTTCCTTCTAATTCAGTGTTCAGCTGCACGTTTTGTGGTATGATTGTCAGCCACAAAGGAAAAAATTCACATTTCCAAGTGCATATAAGCAAATTTTTACAAGCTGTAAAAAAGAAATCTGATATGCCTATGAACGCATTTAGTAGAGAGTCATGTCCATTGTGTAAGAAGGTATACAGTTCCAGAAAAACTCTAAGGATTCACTTATTACAACACACTGCTAATGATATTGTTTTTCCAGGATCCAAACCAAAAACTTTCAAGAAACACTTAGGACCAGTAAGATGTATTGTCTGTAAACGTTTCTTTTCATCTAGAAATACACTCGGCCATCATGCTTTGACTGCTCACAACAAGATCTTCTTAGAAGATCCACTTATCTTTGGTATTCCAAGCTCCATGGCTGCGACTAGAACTAAAAAAACAAAGTTGAAGATAAAAACTCTTGCATCATATCAGTGCGACATTTGCAGCCGAATATTCCGCAATAAGTCAACATTTAAGTTCCACAGAATTTTTCATCGGCAGTCTGTTGGCATGTTGGGGGATTCTTCTGAACCAATTCCTAATAAAACTGACAGAAAGAAGCTCAACTCATCAGAGCCACCGGCACTATTGCATCAGTGTTTTGGTGACTCTTATATAACTGCTGAACAGGAAAGAAAAATGGCAGATGAAAGTGAAAGAAATATTGTAGATGAAAGTGGAACAAACACAATCACGGCTGAGGAAAGTAAGCATTTGTCTATCGATAGATCAGCACATCTTAGTACTGGATATGAATCATGTAGGGTGGAGTGTCGAAGTGGTTTCTCATTGAGACCACTTCATAAAGCCATTCTCAACTGTCACATTTGCCAGATAAGCATAAGAAAAGATGAATACACTGATCATCTTTTAAATGATCATAAATTGAGATTGGAAAGAATCTACAACTGTTCCTTTTGTGATCTTAAATTTCCTGCCAGTAGGCTGGCTGGAGAACATATGAGACAGTGTAGTCTGGACAGCCGATGCATATTATGTCAAGAACAATTACCAGGCATAAAATTCCTTAAAAGTCATGTTATTCAGGGACATAGACAGACTTGGGCTGATTACATCAGCAGAACTGTAGCTACAGCTAAAATTGGAATTGACAATGGTGGACTTAAAATTAGCAGCCCAACTGAAAGCAGTTTAATGGATTCACCTAGAACTTGCCTTCTTTGTAAAGCCACTTTCAATGAAAAATCATTCTACATTTCTCATCTTCAAGAACATACTAAGTCTTGTATGATTTCACTCTATAAACTTGATAATTCCTGTGTTACATCCAAACCCAGTGGTTTACTGAAGGAAATAAATCAATCCACTTCATTTCCCCCACAAGATGTAAGTGGCAGCTCACCCGCAAGTCATACAAAGGCTGAAGTGAGCGGACAAACCAAAGTATTCATGTCCCATGTTTTGAAGCATTTAAAGTCAGAAAAGCAGAATGATGTGTATGGTGATATGGCTGGTGCTGTCGATGAACAATATCAATGCGCCGATGCCCAATATCAATGTGCCGATGCTCAATATCTATGCGCAGATGCTGTCAGCAAAGAACAGGGAGGTTTAATTTCAAAGCAGCTTCATGGAATCAATCTCTCTGTTCCAAATGTGTCAGTATCAGATACAGGCGCTGGGTCAAGTAGATCTGACAAGTTAATTGATCTCAATCCTGGCCATGTGAAAGCCATAAAAAGAGCAATTGTTAACTGTCGAACCAAGTGGGAGGATGACTGTGGGCCAACAAAAACAATGAAATTGAACCCTTCAAATCAATTGGAAAATGTAGGTGCATTCAAGGACAAATAGATCCCCAGTACCAATAGTTTAAAATAGTTGAATAAGTTAATTATAGAGCTGTGTACTAGATCTGAAAAGTTAATTTATCTCAATCCTGACCATGTGAAAGCCATAAAAAGAGCAATTGTTAACTGTCGAACCAAGTGGGAGGATGACTGTGGGCCAACATAAACAATGAAATTGAACCCTTCAAATCAATTGGAAAATGTGTGTGCATTCAAGGAGGACAAATAGATCCCCAGTACCAATAGTTTAAAATAGTTGAATAAGTTAATTATAGAGCTGTGTACTAGATTCATCAAACCTTTGAGCACTGCCATCAACAGTCATGTTTCTCAAACAGCATATTAACTTATAATTAAGTGTGACTCTTAAATGTGGTGTTAATTCTTGTATTTAATGCACTGTAGCTAAATTAATATACGGGTGACCATGTCTACTAAGGTGACACAATGGAACTAAACCATCATAGTCTCATCCCAGGAAGAATTGCTGCACAACAATGTTAATCAGTCTGCCATTTAATATTCAGGGCCTTTAAAATACTGAGCAACAGCTGGTAACAATATGAATATTTTTTACATGCTTCATTTTTTACTGTAGTTGGCTTGGTCAGACATTGGTAATTAATTTTGTTAGGACTACTTATACTTTTGTATTTTTTCTATTTTTACTGTCATCCCATGCACAACTAATGTTCTTCCTTATAAATTCTTAACCAATGGGTCTAAAAGTGGTCATCTGGTTGGTACGTGACTATTGAACACATCAATCTATTGTTAATTGTTTGGCCTTGTGTGTGGGATTTAATTCAGGATGTGGCAGGCTTGATGGCATGCAACCATTGCCACCTCAGGGGACAAACATTTCAAAGGCTTTTGTAAAATTTGTGCTAATTGTTCTTTCTGTATTCTGTGTTTTGTCTTAATGGATGAAAGCAAGTATATGCTTTATCATTATATCTACCGTTATCATGGAAAGGATGATCCTTAATAATATGCTTAATCATTAATGTTTGGGTTTGAATGTTAATTTTCATTTCCATAAAGAATGTGTTTGGTCTGTAAAACAAAATATGTTACCTGGTAATGTTTGTTCTTGAGACAAGATGAATTTTAACAATAAGTAATGTCCAACCTTTGAACCCTAGATGTCACAATGCATAGCTAAAGGCCAGAGATATCAACTTCAAAATGTGTTGCACTTTTTTAGTTTCAATTGAGCTTGGGCCATCCATAAAGGACATCATGCTTCAATGGGGAGGGGTCATGAATTTTTTATATGTGACAAGGGTCTAGTTTGTGTTACAATTGGACTATTGAGAAGATTGGTAAAAATTGACCAGGGTAGAGTGACATCATCTATGGGTGACACTTGAATCAGCTTGATATGGACAGTTCAACTGGTAAATTTTTAACACAGTTCCATACCGTTTGCTAATCTACAACTTCATTGGAATGTGTTGGTTCTGCTCATTAGCAACCTTTTACCAGGTACACATTCTGTTTTGCAACTTTCCAATAACTGTTCTTTTTCTTTAAAAAAAAAAAATTAAATATATCATCTTCTCCATGTACTATAGATGATTTTTCTTGTTCACTTAACATTTCTTAGCCCAGGTACATTTGGCTTTTTGTTTTTATCATTTTAATACTGTAATAAGAGGTTAACCATAATACCAATTTACCATATATGAATATTATATTGATTTATTATTTTTTTTTGGATGTGTGTACGGTATATATTAAAATGTTTTTTAAATATTTTATCATGAATGCTTAGAAAGCTCAGAACAATGGAAAATCTAAATGGGCCACCATTGCCTACTTTCAAGTTGGATTTACCCAGCATCTAATGCTGTGGGGTGATGATACAGCATAAATACAAAGTATTTATTTGGAAAGTGGAGGGGGGGTCATGCCATTGAATCACTGTTTCCCAATAATGTGCATGCCCAACAATGTTAATGTGTATGTCCTATGAGGGGGTAATTTGAAGATTTGTGGGGTGGGTGGGGGTGAAATTTAGTCCATAATAATAAGATAGGAAAATCTATGAACTTTTTAATTTTAAAAGGGTGGGGGGGGGGGCAATATTTAAGCAGTGGCTTTTATAAAATTATACTGGTACTATAGTTTTTCATTGATTGGAATACAAATGTAATTTACTTAATTTAAGATTGTCCTACATCTTTGGTTCTTAATGGGCAGCATGGGGCACTTTTTATCTGGGGGGGGGAGGGGGGTATTTTCAGGTATCTTATCCAAGTTGGGCAAAATGTAGTTTGGGAAACGTACACTAAATGTAACCCTGCTTCTCTCTCTACACATTTTCATGGTTTTATTTGTAAAATGCAACGAGGGGAGCATTAAGAAGTGATCATTTACCTCTGCTCAGTTATGATCATTTCTGACATTTCAAGAGGAACATAAATAGTACCTTCATTTCTCATGGTTTTTTGGCCATTGTATTATCAAATAAGGATGAAAAATCCATTTTAAAATATCATTTTCCTCCATTCGTTTAGTCTAATTGTTGGAGTTAAAAAAGTTGAAAAGATAAATTATGATAGTTTTCTTTTCTTTGCTTACCTAATTTTAAGTACCGTACCGCACTGTGCATGTGTTTCTGTATTGAAATTGAATATCTGTACTTTCTCATTTTCAAATATTCATAATAAACTTTGAACCATTGGTCATGAGTTTGACTCTTGACTTGTTTCCTGGACCCCAACGTTCATTGTTTCTTATTATTAGCACGCGTTTTCAAACTTAATTTTAGCACATTGATTCTTATGTTGTAACGTACCGGTATTTAATCATTGACTACGAAACGTTTCCGGTAACGTACGGATTATTTTTTTTAAGTGTATAAATAACACACCCCCCAAAAAAGTGGGGTTGTCTTTCATGGCAGAATATAATAGCCATTTAAAAGGTATGGAGACTAATAGAAAGACAATCATTCCCACAATTTGTTACCTACCGGTAGTGGGGATGCCAGGTCGGGTGGACACTGACGATCTGACGCACTCGACCATGACTGCTGAAAAGGACGGCCTGGTTGCACCAAGGAAGGGGACCACGACCTTGACATTGACAATAGTAATTGGAGTAATTGGAACAGTTTCTTCTTTTCAATTCCTCCCCAAGAAAGAAGAGAAAAAAGAGGGTGGGGATTTTAGGAAGGGCAGTGCCAGATGCGAGGTTATAAGCGAAGGTACGGGGTAAGAGAGGAGCAAATATCCTCTTTCGCCTGACTAGCGGGAGACGCTTAAATGGGGTGTGATGTATTTAAGGAATTAAAATAATGGGTTACAGAGTTGTGAAAGGGGGGAGGGGCGTAAAAATGAACCTTGTCCCCTGGCGCTTAACACTCTACCTACGCCTCTGCAAGGGGGCGGATGGGGCTGGGGTGGTTGGCCTAGGTGTCACTTTTTCTTAATGTGGATTTTATGAAAACAGAAGAGATTGCATTATTAAAAGGAGAGCCGAATAGCTCTTGGCCCGCCCACGGTGGCACTAACAATATCTACCCCACTAGGCAGATTATCTAGAGGCACCAAAAGTGCTGACCAGCGCTAGTTTTAAGTTATACTGTCAATTTTTTCGGGAAATAGGACAGATATTGAGAGCACCGATGGCTCTTAGTCGAAGTAGGGGGGGGGGCGCATCCCATAAACATTTTAATGAGGTACTTAAAAATCAAGAGGTGTGTTTTGGGGTGTACCTGAATTCAGTATTTCTATTAATATTAAACTATGGCATGGGGGGGGGGGAATTATTTTTCAAGCGTCCGGAGGAGGAATAATGACACCCAGTGTCATAACTAAACTGAATGCACTTCGGTATGGCACTCCCCAGGATAATTATTTGGCACCACCTTAGATTCGACCCCATACTGTCACAATGACCGGAGAGAGGGAAGACTGGAAGGAGAGTAGACATTGAAGATGCAGAAGACTGGAGCGAAATGGCGCCAGGGGTCCCTTCGAAAATGTTAGATAGATTCAAAACGCAGGGATGCATTTTGGCCCGTACTTGCATGGAGCGATTTTGGAGGGGTCATTTCAGACTTTCGGGTGTGTAGAGCCATCATCAGCCATAATAAGAACGATCAGGTACATCTCTTACTCCGCTACAGCCAAACATGAACTAAACGCTGGGTGGCCGAGCGGTCTAAACTGACTCAAACGAAATAGTTGGTGGTCTTGAGCTCAATCCCCACCAAAGCCAACATCCCCAGCACCCCGGGTGGATGGGACTCTGAATTCAAAACAGGAGCCGGATCGATCAATAAATCAATCATGGGCCTTCAAATATAAGATGAAGAAGAAATCATTCTTCTAGTTGTGGCCTCCTTTGGGGCACCAGTATGCTTTTTTTGCCCTGATAGCTTAATCTCGACCCTTAAATATTTATAGTCCGGGGTAATCTCCCAAAATTATTTGATATTTAACGGGGCCCCCATTAATTACGTCAACAAAATGGGGAGGTGGTGGACATTTTTGACTGTTGTTGACAAGAGGGAGGGAGGGGGTTCAGATTAGTTGACGTCAACAATCATGGTTTTTCTATTAAAATGTTCATCTTAAAAATTGACTGGTTCTTACATTACCGTATTTTAAACAATTTAATGAGTGTAAATAGTCATATATGTTTAGGCTTTTAACAATATAAGATTTATTTAATGTGTGTCTGTCTGTGCACTGCAGATGACTGGTCAGAAAATGTTAGTGCAAGAGAAGTCAAAAGTTGGCATCTCTTCACCTGTCATTTTTCTCTTAATCCGCTCCCTAGAATGATTATCACATCATTGTACACGATGTTCAATTTAAAAAAAAAAAAAAAAAAAAAACAACTCATCGATGTTCAATAA